ATAATTTATTAGCATGTATTATTGGAGTCCTATTTATAAAAAAATAATTAATTAATTAATTAAAACCAATAAAAATTTATTATATATATCCTAAATTTATACTTTATTATAAAAAAATATTCATAATATTAAATGGTCAAATTAGTGTGTTATTTATTAAATAAATATATATTTATTTTTATAAAAAAATGTGAATATATCCTTAACATAAGTTTTATAATAAATAAAAGTATAGAAAAAGTTAACAATTAATATATTTAAAAAGAGTTTTTACTTTTTATATTTAAAATAAAAAATTAGTGATTATTTTTATAAACAGGACTAGTATTATGTTATAATTAAAAAAAATAATTTTTAATTATTAGATCATCTACTGTATTAATATCTTAAATGTTATAGATCAAGACACGTTTTATACTATTGGTCATTACTTTTTTGGCACTTATGATGAATTTAACGAGGGTAGTACACAATATTTTTTTGTTTAGGTGGTCTTTGATCGCGGGGAGGATTTGTTATGAATTAAGTCAAGATTTGTGTGCATTGAAAATGTCAAAGTTTGTTGCACCGTTTGTTTACTTGTTTGCTTGTAAGATTTGTAAATCTTCAAATGTTGAAGATTGTCAAAATAAGAAACTGAAGAATAGGCTATATGTCAGGCTACGTTTGAATAATTGATATTTACTATTTTGTTTTATTGTAAGTGAAGAGTCTATAAAAGGCAGTAGCATGTACGAGGAAATACACATCAATTGAATGAATATTTTTTAGCAAATGTTTCTTCCTTTCTTCCTTTATTGTATATGAGTGAGAATTTGTGAGTTGAGAGATAAATAATCATGTCTCTGTGCCAACAAAAATTGGTATCAGAGCACTGGATAGATCCAGCATTGGTTTTGTGAGTCTATTTGAGAGAGAAAGATGGCCATAAACTACAATATTATTTGGTCTGGTCCCAAATTAGATGGGAAACTAGATTACAATTATTGGGCATTATTGATGTCCACTCATTTAAAAGCTCACAATATTTGGAGCTTTATTGAACAAGGCATACAACAAGGAGCTGATGATGCAACTCAAAGGAAGGACTAGTTGGCGCTTTCACAAATTCACCAAGGTGTAGATTATTCAATTTTTGGCAAAATAGCAAATGCCAAAACAGCCAAAGAAGCGTGGGACATTTTAAAGCTATCATACAAAGGAGTAGAGAAAGCTCAGAAATCCAAACTACAATCCATGCGTCGAGAATATGAAAGATATGAGATGTCCAGTTCAGAAACCGTGGAACAATATTTTTCACGGGTAACAAATCTTATCAATAAGATGAGGGTGTATGGAGAAGACATCCCTGAAAGTAAGGTGGTGGAGAAAATTCTACGCACCATGCCGATGAAGTTTGATCATGTGGTGACTACAATAATTGAGTCCCATGACACAGACATCATGACGGTTGTAGAATTGCAAGGTAGCATTGAAAGCCATGTGAGTAGAATATTGGAGAAAACTGAAAAATCAAATGAAGAAGCTTTGAAAAGCCAGGTGAATTTTACCAACATAGCAGAATCCAGCCGAAGTGAAGACGGTAGAAGTCGTGAAGGTGGAAATATAAATTTCAGAGGTAGAGGTCGTAGCAGCTTCAGAGGAAGAGGTCGTTGTAATTTCAATCAACAATGGAAAGACAACAATTTCAGGCCACCTAATCAAGGAAGAGGTGGACATAATATCAGATCTACCAACCGTGGAAGAGGAAGAGGCAGCTTCACCTACCAGGAGAGGACAAATTTCAATTTCTACCACTGTGGAAAGTTCGGGCACATAGCTGCAGATTGTAGATTCAAACAACAAGCAAATATAGCAGAAAATCAATATGAGCATACGGGTGAGAGTTTTGATAATTCACAAACCTTACTTCTAGCAGCAAATAGATTTTCAGGCGATGAAAATATTTGGTACCTAGATACTGGCTGCAGCAACCACATGTGTGGGAAAAAGGAGTTATTTTTCTCACTAGATGAAACGGTAAAATCTACCGTGAAATTCAGAAATAACTCTAATATTCCGATTTTGGAAAAAGGCTGAGTTGCAATCAGATTGAAGGACGGTTCTCAAAACTTCATCTCTGATGTTTTCTATGCTCCTGGTCTTCATCACAACTTGTTGAGCATGGGACAATTATCAGAGAAAGGCTACAACATGCAGATACATGATGGCTACTGTATGTTGGTTGACAAAAATAGGAGATTCATTGTCAAGGTAAAAATGACTCCTAATCGCCTATTCCCTTTGAAAGTTCAACAAGATAAAATTCCCTGCTTGAGTTCCATCATACAAAATGATGATTGGCTGTGGCACATACGCTTTGGATATTATCACTTTTCTGGATTAAATTTTTTATCTAGAAAAGAGTATGTATTCGGTTTGTCTGTTATAAACATTCCTGAAGGTATATGTGAAACTTGTAAAATTGGAAAGAAACACAGAGAATTTTTTCCAACTGGAAAATCCTGGAGAGCAAGAAAGACATTGGAGATTGTGCATTCAGATTTATGCATGGTTGAGATACCAACACATGGTGGTAGTAGATATTTCATCACTTTTATTGATGACTTTAGCAGAAAAGTTTGGGTGTATTTTTTGAAACATAAATCAGAAGCTTGTGATTCCTTTAAGTCATTCAAGGCATTTGTAGAGAAAAAAAGTGGCTGCAAGATTAAAGCACTGAGGACAGATAGAGGCCAAGAATATCTTGCCTGTGCAGATTTCCTTGATCAACATGGAATTCAGCAGCAACTGACAACAAGATACACTCCTCAGCAGAATGGAATAGCAGAAAGGAAGAACAAGACGATCATGGACATGGTGAGATGCATGCTGAAGACAAAATAAATGCCTAAAGAATTCTGGGTAGAAGCAGTTTCTACTGCTATGTATATTTTGAATAGATGTCCAACAAAGAGTGTTTGTGATAAAACACCAGAAGAAGCTTGGAGTGGAAGGAAGCCCTCAATCCGGCATCTCAGAGTTTTTGGGTGTATAACATATGCCCATGTACCAGATCAACTCAGAAAGAAGCTTGATGACAAAGGAAAGAAGTGCATTTTTATTGGTTATAGCACCAACTCAAAGGCGTACAAGCTTTATAATCCAGTGACAAAGAAGGTAATTATCAGCAGAGATGTGACATTTGATGAAGAAGGAATGTGGGATTGGTCTTCCAAGCCCCAAAAGGAGCCTGCAATAATTCCAGAAAATTATGAAGAAGAGGATAGACGTGCAGATCCAATACCTGATGAGCCAGAAACATCGAGCAGAATACAAAGGCAAAGGAGACTACCAGCCAGATTGGAGGATTATGTTGTGGGTAATGATAATGACCCATCTGATGAAGAAATTATCAATTTTGCTTTATTTGCAGATTGTGAGCCTGTAACTTTTGAAGAAGCTTCAAATAATCAACATTGGAGAAAAGCAATGGATGAAGAAATTCATGCCATTGAGAAGAATAAAACATGGGAACTGACAGACTTACCAACAGACAAAAGACCAATTGGAGTGAAGTGAGTGTACAAAACTAAGTACAAGCCCAGTGAAGAAATTGAGCGTTTCAAAGCAAGGTTGGTAGCAAAAGGGTACAAACAAAAGCCAGGTATTGATTATTTTGAGGTATTTGCTCCTGTAGCGAGATTAGATACAATCCGTATACTTATCTCTCTATCAGCTCAAAATAATTGGAAAATTCATCAAATGGATGTTAAATCTGCTTTTCTGAATGGCACTTTGGAAGAAGAAGTATACGTTGAGCAACCTGCAGGATATGAAGTTGAAGGAAAAGAAGATAAAGTCTACAGATTGAAGAAGGCATTGTATGGCTTGAAGCAGGCACCCAGGGCATGGTATAAGAAGATTGATTCTTACTTTGTTGAGAATGGATTTCAGAGATGTCCATTTGAGCACACATTATATGTTAAATTCACTGAGGCTGGAGACGTTCTAATCGTGTGTCTTTATGTTGATGATTTAATTATCACTGGAAACAATTTGAAGTTGAGTGCAGAATTCAGGGAGGCTATGACATGCCATTTTGAAATGACGGATTTGGGATTAATGTCCTATTTTTTGGGCATTGAGGTTGATCAGCGAGATGATGAAATTTTTATTTCTCAAAAGAAATTTGCTGGTGATATTTTGAAGAAGTTCAAGATGGTGAATTCAAAACCAGTTTCTATGCCAGTTGAAGGAAAGTTGAAGCTGACGAGTGACATTGGAGGCAAGAAAGTCAATCCAACTCTCTATAAAAGTTTGATTGGAAGCCTCAGATATTTAACTGCAACCAGGCCAGATATTGTCTATAGAGTTGGACTACTCAGCAGATTCATGGAGAAGCCTCGAGATTCTCATTGGCAGGCAGCTAAAAGAATTCTCAGATACATCAAAGGTACTCTAACAGAAGGAATTCTCTATGACAAAGACATTGATGTGAATCTCGTTGGATATACAGATAGTGATTGGGCAGGAGATATAGAGACGAGAAAGAGCACGTCAGGGTATGCATTCCATCTTGGAAGTGGTGCAATATCATGGTCATCAAAGAAGCAACCGGTGGTAGCGCTCTCAACGGTCGAAGCAGAATATATAGCAGCAACAAGTTGCGCAACCCAAGCAGTGTGGCTGAGAAGAATACTTGAAGTGATGCATCAAAAGTAGGATACTCCCACAAAAATATTTTGTGATAATAAGTCTGCAATTGCATTATGCAAAAATCCTATTTTTCATGGAAGGTCCAAGCACATTGATATTCGATTTCATAAGATTCGAGAACTAGTAGCAGAAAATGAAGTGGAGTTTGATTATTGCCACACGGAGGAACAAGTTGCAGATATTTTTACGAAGCCGTTAAAAGTTGAGTTATTTTACAAATTGAAGAAGATGCTTGGTATGATACAAACTTGACTTAAGGGAGGCAATGTTATGAATTAAGTCAAGATTTGTGTGCATTGAAAATGTCAAAGTTTGCTGCACCGTTTGTTTACTTGTTTGCTTGTGAGATTTGTAAATCTTCAAATGTTGAAGATTGTCAAAATAAGAAACTGAAGAATAGGCTATATGTCAGGCTACGTTTGAATAATTGATATTTACTATTTTGTTTTATTGTAAGTGAAGAGCCTATAAAAAGTAGTAGCATGTAAGAGGAAATACACATCAATTGAGTGAATATTTTTTAGCAAATGTTTCTTCCTTTCTTCCTTTATTGTATATGAGTGAGAATTTGAGTTGAGAGATAAATAATCATGTCTCTGTGCCAACAGGATTCCGGGTAGGACAGACAACCAAGTGAAGAACTATTGGAACACTCATTTAAGCAAGAAGCTTGGTGTTAAGAAGAAAAAGAGCAAAGTTCGTGCCCTTCATCCGAAAATTGTCTATATTATTGATCCAAAGGATAATTGCAATGACACATGTACGAGGCATTCAGGGTCAATTGGTGAAGGCGAAAATCTTGTCCAAGCAAACGTGAGTGAGGGTCTGATAAACTTTCAAAGCATGCATGAAGAGATTATGGCAGATGATTTTGAAAGTACATTTTGTTTGCTGATAGTGAGCTTAAGCTATGCACTACTCGTTACTTGATGGAGTCTTTTCAGGAGCGTCTTTTTGGCCTTTGATTAAGTTGCCTTTAAAGAATATCCTCTTCTGCAGAACATCTTGAAAATGACTATTATTTCTTTATATTAATTGCATCACGGGTGTGTGTCTGTGATTATTGTCTTGAGGCTTCATGGTTAATATAGTGTATACGATGTTCAAGTATGATATTGTTATTCCCCTTTTTAAGTTCCTAAAGTTTTCTGGCCATTGAATTTTGTGTATGTAATATGATAATATGTTACATGAAAATTATAGATAGAAATAAAATCATAAAAAACATATAAAATATTTTTTTTGAAATCAGATTGCACACCCCACGAAGAACACCACTGCGCCTCGAACCGTCTCTCTCCTCGCAACCCAACAATATGACTCCGTGGGTTTCTTTTGCGGTCGATGGCAGGCAGGGATATTTATAAATCAATCTAAAATGTTAAATTAATAAGAACAGTTAAAAACTAAATAATTTATTAATAAAATTATAAATTTTTAAATAGTTTGGATCAGTTTTTAATTCTCATTTTAAGAATCATGGTTAACTTTTTCCCACTGCAAGCTGATCATAAAGATGTGGCTCCTTGGAAGAAGTAAAGTCATCAAATTATTACGAGTTTTACAATTATATATATATTACGGTAATTTTAAAAAATATATATCTATGCTTCTAATTTTTTTACGAGCATATAAGAAGTTAATAACAGCGTAAAGAAGAAACGGTTTCTGCTCTTTCTCAAATCTCAATAATGAATTCCATCTTTATCATTAAATTAAAACAAAACAAAGATAACGCAGACTTTTTTTTTTTTTTTACAAAATGTGGCCCAAAGCCCAATAATAATACAAACACTTTGAAGTAATGCTTTTATGTACTCATCCTGTAATACCACTTCTTCTTCCAGATCATATTTAACTAATATATCAACACATATTTATTTCTTTACAAATATGCATAATCCTAATTATCTGAATAGATTTTAATTTCTCCCTAATCTTATCAATCAGATGGGGAAGGGGGTGGGAAGATAAAGATGCCTTAAGGATGAGCTCAACAATAACCTTAGAGTCACTTTCAATTCAAATAGAATTAATATGAAGGTTTGCTACCTATTGGACACCTAACAAAATACCCCATAGCTCAGCAATAAGAGGAGAATAGGGAATTATTCTATTATAAAACCCAACAATCAGCTTTCCTTGATCATCTCATATGAGGCCTCCACAAGTAGAGTCGAAAAAAACCAGACTTAGAAACAGCTCCATTTGTGTTTAATTTGAACTGTCCTGCAAGTGGGGGCACCAACGGATACACCGAGGTTCAGAAACCAAGCTAGAAAAGTTCTTGGAATTAACCCTGCAATAAAGCAAAGAATAATTAGCTTTATATAAAGATTTATACACTGCATCCTTAGGTTTAACATGATGGTTCAGAAGGATAAATTCATTCTTACATTTCCATAACAAACAGATAACATAACCAAATAAGTAATTCCAGTTTTGAAATTTATTGCAAGAAAAATTAGAAAGATTTAGAAGTAACCAATCAAGAAAACCTAAGCTAAAAACATAAATCCACTGTTGATGAAAGATTAAATGATCCCAAACTGCCTTAGCAAAAAAAGAAAAACAATCTCTTAAAACATGCATGACAGACTCAACCTGATCTCCACACCTTAGACAAAAAGAGGAGGTAGACATATTTCTCCTAAGCCTCTTCTCATTGGTAAGGAGCCTCCCATGAGTAACTTTCCAGAGAAAATATGCAATTTTAAGAAGAACTTCCTAATTCTAAACTAAATTAAAAAATATTAGAAGGGGTTGAAAGCAGTTGATAAGCAGTTTTAATAGAAAATAAGCCATTACCATTTAAAGTTCAAAAAATAGCATCAGAACCACTAAACCTATCAAGGGCCTAACCAAGGCTATAGTGTTACAAATGCTAACAGGAAGGGCAGCTTAAATTTTAGACCAATTCTAGTGTCCATTGACAAAAAATAAAACTATAGGAATAATTAGATATAAGTCAGAGGTAGGACACTTAGAATAAATGACTAGATTAGTATTATTAGGTAGCTAATTATCAGTCCAAAACTTAGTGGACATGTCATCTTTAATTGTCCACCTTAAATTCTGAGAAAACATAGACCAGACAGATGTAATACTTCTCTAAAGGTAAGAAACAACTTGACCAAAACTAAAACTAAAGATTTGACCCAGAATAAAACTGAGAATTGAAAGTGTAATACCAATTTTACACTTTCAATTATAGAAACCTAATATCTCTTTATATATTATTATGTTTAATAATCAAACTACCACTACTCAAAAAAATTTATTTATTTAAAATTTTTAAAAAGTACATATTTTTTCTCATGTATTTTTACTTAAGAAAACAATCAAATATCAAAATAAAAGTCTAAATTTATTTGTATTATCTTACTTTAGTCAATAACAATGTTTAGAAAAAAATTAAAAATTGTTATTCTATTTTTAAAAATAATAAAATATTGTTAAATAATGTTATTATTTAAAATTATATAATTACTAAATTTTAATATAATGATTAATTAAATATTTATATATTTTTTTATATCATCAATTAATCTAGCAGTTTATTTTATTAAATATTTTTAAATTTATTAGTTAGCTTATTATTTTCAACTTTCATATTTCAATTTTCAGTTAATTAATTCGTTAATGTTTTCAAATGCAGTCAATAATTGAAAAATTTTGTGAGGGAGGGAGTTTGTTTAATAATTGCCTTTTTATAGAGTCATATGATATTATTTGAAGGTATAAGATGATACATAATATATTTAGAATCTGACGTATTAGATAAGTAATAATGTTAATTATTATTAATATTATCAAATAAAAATAAAATTATCATAAAATGATACTTGTTTAAATAATTAATTTAATTAACTGTATTAATGTGTGTAGTTTAATTAAAATTACATTATAAAAACAACCTGAAAAAAACTATACAGTAATACAAATATAGTTAAAACAAAAAATATTTGACTCAAGTTGATGGTTGAGGCATTTTGGCGTGAGGTAGAGCAAGGAGAGCAGAAGAGGATATGCTTGAAGAAGGAGAAGAGGAAATAAAAGGCACACCCATTCATTTTGTTTTGTTCAGCTAATCCACTCATTCACTGTAATCTCATCCTCTCACTCTCCCTTAATCACCCTTTTATTTTTTAATTAATTTTTTCTTTACGACTCTAATATTAAAATTGTTTTGGTCCTTTACCTTACGCAGAAGTGAGTAGAGTAGCAGGCATGACCACCCAATCGCCACCGCCTTCCACTCCCCCCGACACTGACGAAAACCAAGGTTTCCATTTCTCTCTCTCTCTCTCTCTCTTAATTCAGTTCAGCTTTCAAATCCGTAATTTTCTCGATAGTGCCATCGGAGAATTTTGTTGATTCTACTTTTCACTTTTAAAAACTCCTTTTTACTTTCTTGTCTTCATGGTTTTAGTCACTTACCACACACTGTTTTTGGAATCATTAAAAATTTCTAAACGGCAGATTTATTTATTTTTTAAATCAAATCGTTTTCCAAACATTTGTGGTTCCAAATCATTTCTGAACGGCTCAAGCAACTTATTAGCCCCAATAGTTTATAATACATTTACACCAGTCTTAGGGAGTTCTGAAATTATTATGATATTTATGAAACTTGTTTTTTTTTTTTTTTAATTAAGCAGTAATGTTAATCTTAATTGGGTAATACAAAACAGATTCCATGGTTTCTTTGAGAACTTCGTTCCCTATTCCGTATCCTCTGTTCAATTGGAGCTTGGACATTTCCTCCATCTTACATAATCATTCCCAAGCGTGGAAAAGAGGAGGGTTGTGTTAGGGAATTGGTAACTGATGTAAAACTTTGTTGAATCATCTTGATATTGATCAAAGATTCGATAGTGTTTTTGCTAGCTCATTGACTATAGGAAAAATGCCATATGACTCAAGTACTGTGTCAAGTGAGCAAGAGTTGTTGCATCAGTGCCTGAGTGTAATAAAAACACAAAGCTAGTTCATGAAAGTATGATTAATTGTGGACTTGAAATGTAGGCTACTTACAGATGATGTGAACAATGGACACCATGATTAGGAGAAACATTAATTTTATGTGCCTTCAAAATTTTGCTTACAATAAAAAAGCTTTCTTTTATCACGTTAATAATTATGCCAAACATACTGCCATTTTTAGAAAAAATCTTTTATCCTTCAGAAAAGCTCTTCAGCACTATTTTATCTCATCCACACACACATGTAGTCCTAGTTAGGGTCAAGACTCGAGTGAAAATAAATGGGAGCTAGAGATGTGGAAACAAACTCTAGAAGCACATGACTTTTGTTTGGGTAAAAGTACAATGGAGTATATGACATATAAGTTTGGTAGGAGGCACACTAATTCTAGCATAGAGGCGAAAATTTGAGACCATACAATACCCCAGGTCACATGGTTAAAAAATAAGGAAATAGAGGGAGATGTAAACCACAAAATTCAAGTGGGATGATTGACATGGAATGGTGTTTCAAATGTTATGTAATACAAAAGTTTCATTTAAGCTTAAGGGAGAATTTTGTCTCATAACTATAAGACCTATTATGTTTTACGAGATTAAATGCTAGGTAGTAAAGAGCTAACAAGAAAATAAGTTCGATGTTATACATATGAGAATGTTACAATGGATAAGTGTACATGAGATATAATAGGAAAAGAACAAACGCATTAGATTTGAGAGAAAGTTAGAGTTGCACCTATTGTGGAATATATGTTAGAATTTCATGTTAGGTGATTTAGGTATATGAGGAGAAGACCTGTAAAAGTCTCAATTAGGCTAGTAGATCACGTGGAGGGTAGTCCACTATTTAGAGGTAGAATGAGATCAAGGAAAACTATTTGTCAAACCATTAAGAAGGATTTAGATTTAAATGGTTTTTCGACTTGGTTTATTATAGGACATTATGGTGGTGTTTAAATCATATATAGCAAACACTACCTAGTAGGAAAAGGCTTTTTACTTTGTTCTTCTTGTTCTGTTTCCTTTAACTGAATCTTCCATTCAAGGTTCCAACTTGACTGATAATACTACGTATTCTAATTTTGAATAATGTAGTTGTTTTGTAAAATATTCTCTAGTTTGTATTGAATTATCTGAAAAATAAAAGGACACAACCAATGACAACGCAATCAGAAAAATTAGGCTCCCTTTATGCTTGTCATCTTGGATGCTGGCTGATAAACAAATTAATATAGTAATGATATTTGCACATGCTTTATTCCCAAAAATCCCTCACAAACTCTAAGGTGGGACTTTATTGACTATTTAGAGGGAAAAAAAAAAAGTTGCTGTGGGACCAAAGGTTATCCAATGGTTTTGTAATAATTATAACATGACAAGATACCCTTTACTACGGATGCATTATTAGTAATTACTAACTTAATTTAAGAAAACACTAACTAAATTTCTCAGCAGATTCTGTCATAAACAACAATCTTAAAAGTTTAATTTGTTAGGTGAAGATGCAAGAATGGCTTTTATATTAAATGTCTATAAGATTCCTTGTTTTTATTATACAGTTGTACCAAAGATTTAGTTGTTATCATCATTTTAGTTATAAATTATATTGTCTTGAGTATGATAAAATTGATTTGCTGATTCTATTTTTTGAGGTTTAGGTTCTAAAGTTGTGCAACCAACAAATGTGGATCAGCAAAATGTCAAAGAGGAGCCTGTTAAACAGAGTTCATCTACATCAGTCTTTGTTAATTCACAACCATTGCGGGAAGAACAAGTTCAGAATGCTGTGAAATTTCTATCACACCCAAAAGTTAGAGGTTCACCTGTCATCTATAGGCGATCATTTCTGGAGAAGAAGGGCCTTACAAAGGAGGAGATTGATGAAGCCTTTCAGCGGGTGCCAGTAAGCTATTTTTTATAAAACTATTATATCAGTCACTCAATTTCCTAGACTGCTTTTCACAGCCAACCGATTGATTATCATTTTATCAATTTCTTGTACGTTCATCTGTTTTAATCCTTACCTTTGATTCAAATCACAGGATTCTGCTCCAACTGTGCAGACAGCTGGTGTAAATCAAGGTGAAGTGTAACTCTAATATTGAAGTTTTCCTTTTTACCTTTGGGTTAAACTGCTTGTGAAATTAACATTAATTAGTTTTCAATGGAGCTGGTTGATTCTTGCTTAAGTTGTGCTTTGAACACGGCTTTTTTCATTGCTAACAGATGGGCAACTGAAATCATCATCAAACATTCAGCAACAAGCCCAACAACAAACTTTGCAGCCGGGTTTACCTGCTTCTACTGGTGTTAATTCTTCATCAGGAAGTTTATCACGGCCCAGATTTCACTGGTCCCATGCCCTTATTGCTGTTGGATTACTGGCTGCTTCAGGAGCTGGAACAGCTATAGTAATTAAGGTATTACTGCCAACCGTCATGCATGATGTCATTTAAATTGATATCTTAATGAATGAGTGCATATCGATATTACTAGGTTCCCTTTGTTATTGATATTTTATATCCTTTCTTATACTTAATATGTTGCTATGCACAAGTTTAATCTCACTGAACTTTGGAATTGCATATTACGGTGAGTACATATTGCTACATGTTTTCTCCACACTGAACTTTGGAAGCTTGCTCCATGTTTTAGAATTCCATTCTCCCTCGGTTAAAATCTTGGATACGTAAAGTTGTCTTAGATGAAGATGATGAACAAATAAGGAAAAATGACAAAAAACCAACGCTGGTGGAAGAAGCTGCACAAGCTGCAAAATCAGCTGCAGCTGCAGCTGCAGATGTGGCAAAAGCAAGCCAAGAAATGTTGGCTTCAAAAGGTGAAGGTGGGTGTATAGAACTTTAATTTGGATACTATAAAATGTCTTTGATTTGTTTTAATACTCTCTACCCTCCATGGACATTTTTATTTTTGAGAAATGACTGTAGTTATATTACTGCATTTGGTTTTATGCTTTGCAGAGAGGAGATACTTTCTGGAAGTTGTGAGTCTTTTAGATAAGCAAGTACAAGAAATGAAGTCAATGACAAATGCAATAAGAAGATTGGAAGGTAATTGGGCGTTGTCATTTAATCTATTGGACTGAGATGAGAAGTTTCCAATGCTTTGAATATTTTATACAAGGTTTGATGTATGATATATGCCAATAGCACTTGTAAATTTTTCAAAGAACGTGATTTTTAATTGGGGAACTTGTTATTGTAGCCCCTTAAGAGTCAATGAGGTGGCACATGGTGACCAAGAGCTGTAATTAGTTTTGTGCACATTTTAACTATTCTAACTGGATTTCTAGCTTCATGACTGTATTATTCTTGAACTTTCATTCAATTGTTTGAGGCTTACTGATAATGTTGGTGGCTATCATGTCAGAAATTCTGGCAGATTTACGCTGAAAGTTTTTGACAGTTACTTTGAATTTTTAAAAGTTCTTGTCAAATATCTGTTTCTGCCAAGTTGTGGGACAAAATATACCATTCTAATGAAGTTTCTGTCTCAGGTCAAGAAGATCTTAGAGTCAGTCAAACAAGTTCAAAGGTCAGATATAAATAGACTTAGATGGAAACCATCTCAGCATCTTTAATGAATTTCCTGATCTTCATTGAATTGTCTACGATATAATTTGACTTTTGTTGACTGTAATTTTTAAAAATATGCAGCAACTGATTGTGAATGGCAAAGCAGACTATGACTTGCGTTCAGGTTGTCATATTGTTAATAAGTCTTAATTAAATCAATCTTGTTTTTTGAATTATTATCAATAACTAGAATGTGATGTGCAGTGAGATCTTCATCCCCACCTGCATCTGTTGAACCATCAGGTGGTCTTCATCCAAAGTCATATATGGAGGTAGTGATTATCTTGCTTTTATAATTTCTCTTTTACATCCCCTGTCTTGCATTTTTTTGTTGGATCATATCTGAATGGTTATCATTTTCAGTCATGTCTTGAAGGTCACTTTTATAATTACCAAAATTTAACATTTGGGCATTAAATAAAAAAATTTGGGATTTGACTACAACTTTCTATTATGGCCACCAAATGTGCCATGTCAACACAGGTAATTGCTTGTATGCGATTGAGCTTCTTAACTAAGATGGTGAAATTGTGATTTAAGTCTATTGTGCAGTGTTTTTTTTTTGTTGGTACTGGTTATTACAATCTTGTGTCAGCTTCATAATTGATGCCTACTTTACTCTATTTACTTTCCATAATCGATAGGATATTCCTTCAAAATGATTAATTTTGTTACCTGTAAAGATTTGAAGATTTTCTCATATACAGCAGCTCGTGCAGTACATGAGTGTTCACTGCTTGCGTCACTTTGGACACTGCTTAGTAGAAATTAATGAATTGTTTGTAGTTTCTTCCTATTTGATGGAGTCGATAGAGATTTATTTATTTATCTTAATATTTATAAGATTTTGTTTGACTTACACAATTTTTTCTTGCAGATAATGGCCATGGTCCAAAGAGGAGAGAAGCCTTCTAATATTAGAGTAAACCTTTATGCTTTTTAAGATAAATTTAGTTGCACAATAAATCATACAACTCATTTCTGCAACGTTGATAATCATAAAAATTTTTAATTCACTTTAAAGTAATTACAGATTGATATGTGAGAGAGGTGTCACTGTGGAGAAGATTATGCTGTGCAAATAAGATTACACTTAAAAGGGAATAGATCTTTTCATGTACATGACAAGTTATATTTTGTGTTTCTCTCTCGAGCTCTATTGAATGTCTATCATTAGAGATAGACACAAGATTTGAACCTGACCTTGTCATATTAATTTGACATAAGAAGATCTGTTCCTATGCTTATATATCTGTGGTCACTGTTACTTTTATAAAACACTGGGTTTTAATGCAGGATATCAATGATTTACCCCCCAACCCTAATCAAGAACCATCAAATCCACGCTTAGTGCCTAGATCCAAGGTTTCTTTCAAAGTGCTTTGCAGTTCCTAAATATTTTTCGTTTATGAAGTTTTTTTGTTTGACTAAATTTGTATGTCAACTTTCTTTAAGATATCTAGGCTAAATGGGAGGTTGCCTTGATTTTAATTTTAATCTGAAAGATATAATGCATCGAGTCATATTGTGGGCTCTAATTAATCCATGAGAATGAACTTGGAGTTTTAACTTAGAGGCACACACGCACATGGAACAGTAATATTCCTTTCTCAGTGGTATTATTTCATCCGAATCTGATTGTATGCTTCAACTTCTCCTGGGTAGCCTTGGGAGGTTGGTCAGGTGCAAAACATTTCTACCCAAATGCTTGAGTCTCAAGTAAATGGTGAAGACTTGAATATCAAGACCCAAGACACCACTCAATTGAATGGGGATGACCCATTGCCCTGGTGGCAGAGAAAAAATGTTAGAATCAGAGAGATTGATGATGAAAATGAGTCTAATGGAGCACCCTATGGTGCTGCATCCAGTCAGCAGCCAGTCCAACGTGTGTGGGTTCCTCCTCAACCTCCTCCGATAGCCATGCCGGAGGCTGCTGAAGCAATCAGACGCCCAAAGTCAGTGATCCAAAAGGAGCAGATGTCAGATAATCAGTCAGTAGCTCATTCTTCAGATGTCTCTGATGAGGTGCATAGGACCCCACAACTATTGGAATCTGAAGGTGCGGTAGAGGGCAACAGTGTCAGCTCAGTTCTCAGCTCTGGTGAGATACAAGAAGTCGAAGACCATGAAGTGAAATATGAAGAGAAATAAAGGCGAATCATGGTTTGTCATGAAACACACGAAGTCGGATATAGCACTTGAAGTAGTCCCATGGATAGTCTTTTTCACAATATTTGTTTCATAATCATAAATTGTGTACTTCGAACAGGACGTCAATCCAAGATGCAAAATGCACGTGTCTTTTTATGAAAGAATAATGTTATTTGTAATATTATGAGTGCAGTCAGTGCATGCAGAATGTTTAAAATAACTGAACGAAGTATTCTACTAGAAAGTTGCGAAGCTAATTTATAACAAACGAGTGGCGACGCAAAGAAAAAAATCTGAAGATGATCTAATGAGCACAGAAAATGTGTCGTCAGCTTAGGATCTCAAATTTAATTGTCTTGTAGAGAATTTTGTTTCGATGAACTGCATTTTTAATGGAAAATTTGTCACTTGTGGCATTGTTTAAAGCTGTACCCCAATAGTATCCTGCCTGTGCTACGATGCAAGTTTTGCTGATGCTAAATGTTAGAACAGCGAATTTTCACTCAAAATTAAGCGCACTTTCTGAAGTGAATTTTTACTTCAAAGTACAAACTTTAAATGTTGTAAGAAAATTTAAAATTTATCTACCAAAAAGAGTGAATTTTAAATTTTTATTACTGGATTTTTTTGGGTGAACTCTTTTAGGGCTTAACTGTATTTTTGGTTTTTCTAGTATCACCAATTCTAAATTTTAGTCTTCCAATAATTTTTTCCTCGAGTTTATTTCCTTGAGTTTTTAATCATTACAACCAAGTTCTTTAAATTTTTAATTGTTAAATCAAGTCTTTTTACCATTTCTTTTTTATTTAAAGCTCTCAATTATTTTTAAATCTCTTTGAACTAAATCTATGAAATTATTTTAAAAAGTCTTCTATTCAATATCTACCAATCTAAATATCATATTTATCCAAAAATCAAAGAAACTCATTTTTTTTTCTTTGTAAAACCTTAATCTCACACCTTACTAAATTTAAAGTTTCATCAAATATTTTTTTTATTTTTAAATAATTGTTTTATCTTGAATTTGTTTAAAACCTCTAATTATTTGAGTAAAATATACAAAATTTAGAATTTTATAAAAATAAAATAACAGAAGAATTTAATTATAACAATTAAAAATTTGAACAATTAAATTCAAGAATAAAAATATTGAAGAATTAAAAGTTAAAAACTATGATAAATATAAAAAAAATGTAATTAAACCCTTTTTTTATCATAAATTTACACAATCATATTTTATGCTTTAAGTTATTTTAGGCTTAAATATACTTTTTGTTTATACAAATATTGAGCATTTTATGATAAATTCTTATAAATTTTTTTATTAAAATTTAGACTTTAAAAAATTCAAAAATTATGTTTTAATCACTATTGTCAACTCTCTTCTGTTAAGTGACATGCCATATTATTTAATTTATTTATTATTTATTATTTAAAATTACATAATTACAAATAAGTCTCTAAATATATTTTATATAATTATATAAAAACTTTTTTAATTTTTTCTTTTCTTCTTCACGAGTCGCTGTCCTCCCCTTTTCACCACCCCTTCCCTTCAACCTTAATTTGAAGAACTCTAATTTTAATTAAACAAACAACGTAAATGGCATTTGAAGAACTGCACCTAAGCTTTGTGCTAAATCAAACCAAGTTATACCAACCATTGTCAAAACAAATGACACATACATTTTGACTTCTTGCTTTGGTACTCGACGAGGTGGAGCTCTTGGTGCAAATTTTACCCGCAATGGCTCGGATATTGGCAAAAAGAGTGCCCAATATATCACGGTGCTTGAACCCGGTTCATCTGGGGTAACCCAAGAGATGATCACCTTGTGTTATATGAACCTTTCTAAATCCACATTTTCAATAGAAATCAACATATATAACAAGTCTAACTAACTCTTGGAGAAGTAGTTTCAAGTGTATTTAAAAAAACGTCGCTTTAATTGCTGGGAGCATTGTAACCAGGTGGCACACGAAACACATCACCATCTATAGGCATATCCAAAGACAAATAATCATTTCTTACAAAAGTACTAGTCTTTCCACACATACTGAAACATATATCTCCAACGTTAAAAATTAACCTCCAGAATAGAAGTAGAAAGACACTAACAACTCCTCTATGCCAATTCAGTCCCATCTATTTTCTGCTGAGTTGAATCCCAGTTACCAATACAATTGCATAGTTATAATTATATAGAGAAGATTTATTACAATATCATATGGATGGGGAAGTGAGAAGGGGTAGGGTTGGAATTGGAGGAGGCTTGTGGAGAAGGGAGAAGAGTTGCAAGAAGAAGAAAAAAAATTAAAAAGACTTATAGATAATTATATAAAATATGTTTAGAAACTTATTTACAATTATATAATTTTAAATAATAAAAAAATGATATAAAATGCTACTTAAGAGTGTTAAACTGATATTTCATTAGCTAACACTTAACATTGACAAAATTAAATTATAATTTTTTAACTTTTCATAGATTAAATTTTAATAAAAAATATTTTTATAAAAAATTATTATAAAATATTCAATATTTATAAAGATAAAAATATAATTAAAACATTATTTTACGTGAAGTTTTGATGCTTTATACTGACCAATATGATTACAATCTAACTAATTGAATCATTTGACCTATAACTCAACTCCCATTTTATTTAAAGCCGGGTCTCGTATCAAACATCTAGTCATAGCAACGGCAGCTTTATATTTCAAGCTTCAGTTTTCAAATATGTGCAGTACAATTCATTAACTAGGTTTATTTCCTCCTTTGATTATAAAATTTGATGATTTTGACGTTGGTAAGCAAGTGACACCGTGAGACAGAAATCGATTCATTCTATCGATATAAAAAACAAAAGAAAAACATAGAAAATTTAATAATAATGAAAAAAAATCTGATTGTTTAGTCAATTGCAATCAACAAATGCCAAACTAGGAGCGTCATGCATCTTAATGATTCTTAATTGAATTGATTCCATTGTTTGCTGTCAGGACCGAGTTTGACCTTTATGTATAATTTATAAGATTGGATTTTTTTTAAGATATAACTTGTCCTTAAAGTGGATAAATAAGGGTGCGTTTATTATTTATTTTATTGCAACTGCTTCATAATTTTAACGTATTAAAGTTTGATGGTAGATGCATGTTTACATGCAAAGTTTAAATTAAACTTACTTCGTCTACCCATCATGATTTGGCCAACAAATTTAGGGCGATTGAATCAATACGCACTAAATTACAATGCTCAATATCGACTTTCCTCTATATTTTTTCTAATTTAAAATGTTGATATATATTCATTTCTTAAGGACCTAAGTGCGTGTATAACAAAATCACCGTGTGAAGATAATGCCTTAGAAAACGACAGGTGCAATACTACTATGGTTAAATAGTTGTTCAGTGAAAAAATGGAACATGTGGAAAAGAAGCACAACACTGAACACAATATATCTCAATTGAGCACAAATATTTGTGTTAGAACTCGATTTCAATAATTTTTATTAAAGTGTGGAATGTGGTATCTTAAATTTTTTTTTAGTATCGTACTCAAAAAATATATATTAATAAAAAAGGAATACGTGACAAATTAAAAAATATTATTATATATAATTTTTTAAAATTATATTATTTACTATATAATTTTATTATATATATTATATATTAATTTTTTTTATTTTTTATAAATTTTTAATTTTAAATAAAATATAATTTGTATTTAAGTAATTTTTATTTATTATAAATAAAAATAATTATAAATAATATATTAATTTAATAATTAAATATTAATAATATTATTTTATTTTTAAATTTTAATTTATTTTAACTTATTTAAATATAATAAATATAATAATTTATTATTTAAATACATGTCTAAATTAAAATTTTTTATTTATGATATCCTGAAAAAATTTTATAGATATCACAGAATTTACCTTTTATTAAATTTGAACTTACATCGTGACTTTAGATTAAATTTGATTTCGAGCACCGTCTAATGTATAATTTTGCAAATTTCAAAATGCCAAAGCATTTGATGGAAATTAATGCACTTGAACGTTTTACACACGAGAGTGGTGTCGTTTGCGGCTGCTGATATGTATTCATTAGTTATCTTCTTTTTAATAATAAATATATTAAAAAATTAAGTGATTAATATTTTTTTACTAATTCACTGAGAATACCAATACATATATGACTATTAAAAACCATATTATATGTACAAAATAGAATAAAAACTATGAAATAGTATATACATTTAAATGCATAATATCATGTATTTCTATTTGTTTTAATTTTTATAAAATTATTTTATTTTATTTTATATTATATTAATATTAATATGTTTTTACTCACACAAAAAATTAGCTATATAAATATAATATAAAAAAATAATATAATATAAATTTCATTCATATCCTTTAAACTTTCATAAAAATAATTCTTAATATGTTTATCTTACATAAATCTTTCTGAATTTGTATAGTAGTATAATATTGTATATTTTTTCTGACATTTATATTTTTTATAAATTATATAAATTGAAAAAATTATCATTTTATTAAATGTGAATATGATTTGTGCAATATAAAACATGAACTTGCAACTTGTATAGTAATTTATAGCTTTTTTATCAATAAATGAATAGAACCTTTTACAAATAAAAAAGTTTAACTTTTAAAATATATTTTTATTTATAATATTTTAAAATTTACACTCATTTAAAACATTTTTAACAGAAAATTTAATTATTTAACGTAATTTAATTAATTATGAATTATAAAAATCTAACTTATTTTACTGTATAGGCTGCCACTAAAAGCAAAGTGTGAGTGGGAAGCTGTGTTTTGGTCAGACTCCTGTCACGACTGCGGACTTGACTGCTTAAATTATTGTATGAAAACAACTTTGTTTAGAGTTTTGACAGTTCCAACAAAACAAAACACAACTTTCCTTTCTCTGTTCTTTCAAATGACTTTTTAAAATACGAGGATCATTATTCTTCAAATGCTTTAATTTCTATTTCAAATAGTAATTTTATTTGGCATTATTTTAATTTTTCATTCAAACACATTTTGAAACTTTATTTGTATTTATTTTAATACTAATTTAATTATTTATTATTAGTAATAAAATATTTAATTTTTAAAAAATTAAAATTAAAAAATAATGCAATTTACTTTTAAATTTTATTTAAAAATTTTAATTAATAATATTCATATAATACAAACAAATTTACCAATATAATCTAGACAAAAAAAATTGACTAATATAAAATTTTACATGTATATATTCTAGCCTTTAAATTATAATTTCTTAAATACAATAACAATAATATTCATATTAATTTTTAATTTATAGTTTGTTATAAACAAAAAGAAATCTACGATTATCTATGATAAAATAAAAAAATAATCCTATATTTTAAATTTTATACTATAATATTTAAATTTTTCAATGACTTGATAAAATTAAAAAATTTAAATTTTTTTTTATTTATATGTTTAAAGACATAATAAAATTATAAATAATTTAATAAAAAATGAAAATTATATATATATTTAAATATTTATACACATTTATTTTTAAAAAAATGTTAATCAATGCTCTAAGAGTATTAGTAAGAGAATAGAAATTAAAAATGTTTTGTTAAAAACTTAAAAAATGCTAATCTTTATATTTTATAATTAACATAATTTTTAATAAAAAATAATTTATTAATTCATTGACTAATAATTAGTATCATGATTAATAAAATTCTTATTTTAAAACTCATGGGTTATATAAACTTAATTATAACTTTTAAAATAACTTAACAACTATAAATTATGAAATTTCTAACATATTTTACTGTATGGACTGCCGCTTGAAGACGTGGAGTCCGAGGCACGTGTTTTTGTCGGGCTCTTGTCACGACGACTGCAAATGCATCGTTTGTGATACAGTGTCTGACATAATTTCTTTAATATATTTGTTTATTAAATAAAATATATATCATTTTTATATTTATAAATTTTAACTAATATTAAAAAATTGTTAAAAATATATATTATTAACTTTGCTCTTTTATTTAAATAATTTTTTTCTATAAGTAAAAAAAAATATCTAACATCTACTTACAATATTTTTATAACTTATCCTTTCATTTATTTTAAAATTCGAGGATTATTCATATTCAATTTCTATGCTAAATAGTACCCCTCCTCCATTTGAAACACATTTTGAAACTATTTGTATTTATATTTGTAATAAGCAAATTGAAATGGAATCTGCAATCCGCATTATTGTTTTTAATTAGACACTACACTCACCTTAATCAACTTTGGTTATCATTATTGAGTTTTTTTAGGTATGCCATCATAAAGAGCTATTTTATTTATTTGTCACGTATTTATTAAGATAATATAAAATATTACTTTAAGATCAGGTCAATGAATGCTTTTAAGATTAGGCTAAGGAACTAAAATAAGATACTTTAAATGAAATGTACAAGCATTTAATATTTAACAATTAAAGAGAATTAATATTTTCTTAGTTTTTAAATAATATAAATAATTTAATGTAGGATCAAAATTGTTTTTGAAGTGTACAAAATTAGTTACTTATAAACCACACAATTAATATGTTATTTTGCTAATAAATGACAACCGACGTTGATTAATAAATTAAAAATATTAAACACAAAATATAATAAATAAAAGTCTATAAATAACTTTTTTAAACAATCAAGAATTAAAAATATTAAATGCTTCTGAATAAATAATTAAATATGTTCACTAATAGTTAATAATAAAACTGTTTCGTTACATTTACCAGGTACACTACTCAGTGTATATGATTCAACATCTGTTTATTTAAAAAAAAAAAACATTTCATATCAATTATTATTCATATTTTATTTTAAAAAAATATTAATCTCAATATTTAGAAAAAATATTTTTAAAAAATTAATATTTATTATACTTTTATAATTTTAATACAATGAATATAATGCTCAAATTCATTTTAAGAATTAAAGTTAATAAAATTCTTATTTTAATATAAAATTCATTTTAAGAATGAAATGTTTATTTTAATTATATTCAATAATTTGAAGTTAATTTTATCATAGTAATTATACTTAATTTTAAATTAAACTTAAAACTCATTAACACGAACGAATCAGAATATTGGGTGGAGCAAAGACTAGTGCTGATTCCACAGTCAGCACCCTGTCCTAACCCTTTTTCGTCCTCATTCTGTGCGCTTTTGTTAACGATTAAATCAAACTATTAATTTAAACGTGGACAGGAGAAAGTCTAAAGAAATTAATAAATACAAATTTGTATAAAATATTATACCATTAAATGTAATTAATTTATTATACTTTATAACACTATATTTTTAATAAAATTATATGAAATAAATTTGTATTACGTGTGTCTATAGTACACATTAAAAAAATTGTAAATCAAACTCGTTAGTTAGCCACTTTCCCCTTCCTTTTCCTTTGGCATAAGATTATTACAAAAATTCAAAATAAAAAATTCAGCTCTGAGACCACATCCACTGTAGTGTCCATTATAAAACTGAGCCATTTCTGCCACCACACACACTCCTTAAGCGGCAACTACTCTTCTTGTTTCAGATTGCAAACTCTTAGATTCTTTCTTCTTCAAACTGAAGTTGGGTTCTTATGATGGCTCTCAATTTGTCTTCCCCAGCTGAAGTCAAGTCCATTTTTTTCGCTGATCCCTTCAAGTCTAATAGCCTCACAGCAAAATTCTCAGGTCCTTTCTTCTTTTCATCTTTTAATATCTCTATGTTTCCCTTCCCTGTGTGTTCTGGGAAAACTCTAAAGTCAACAACTTTATAGAGAAATACCCCCCTCCCCCCATTTGCTTGTGTTGGATTATGTTTGTTTTCTATGTTCTTGCTGCTTAATGCTTGTGCTGACAAGAATATTTTGTTATGAGTCATGCATAAACCTTTGTTGTCTACTATGATGTTTTTTTTTTTTTATGTGAATTATATGGGACATAGAAGTTTTACTTTCATAGTCATTTGATTCTCAGGAGGTTTTGCTTTTAAAAGAAAAGAGTGTGGAGCAGCGTGTGGAAGGCGAGTTTATTGCTCAGTGCAGACGCCCCCACCAGCATGGCCAGGAAGGGCGGTTCCAGAATATCGCAAGACTTGGGAGGGACCAAAACCCATATCTATTGTGGGGTGTACTGGTTCAATTGGAACTCAGGTATTGATGGAAATGGATTCCCTCTCTACCATGACAAGCTGTAGTTAATGTAGCAAAATGCCTAAGGGGATCTGTGGTTTTTGAAAATGTTTTTTATTTATAATTTCACTTTTAATTATAAATTAAATACTGTTACTTTATTTTATTTTTCGTTTTCAAAGATTCATATAGGAAACACTGAAAATTACAAAATGTTGTTTTCTTTGTGTCTTATATAAATCTTTAAAAACATGAAACTAAATAGAAACAAAATGACGTTTTTGTAATTAAAGTTGAAATAGAAAATATTTTCCCAAACCAAACAGTCCCTGATGATTTCAAGCTGATTTTGGCTGGACTTGAAACGTGCTGTTTGATTGCAAGCATTTGTTGGAAATAATTTGAATTTTTAGTGAATGAGAGTATTACTGGGAATAGTTGACTGTTTACTCCTTGTAGATGTAGCTTGACCTGCCTTTGTCTCTTATTCTTTGATGTGGTGCATCTTTTCCCCTGTATGCTTTTGTAGACACTAGATATCGTAGCAGAGAATCCAGATAAGTTTAAAGTTGTGGCACTTGCAGCTGGTTCAAACGTCACTCTTCTTGCAGATCAGGTAACTACTTCACTTGAAGCATGTAATGTAACTATGGATTGATTTGTCTCTCTATCTTTGACAAACATTAAATCTGAATTTTAATGACCTCAGTGAATTTATATGATCAATTCACCCCCACAGATAATTTAATACTGTAATTATTGTTACATTAGTCATGATGAAAATGGTGATCCTGCTCTGTTTTCAAAAGAACTCAGGGGTGCTAGGCATTTTGTTCTTAATAATTTCTGGAGGTTTCGTTATTTTCTCTTAAATTTTCTTGCTGCGAAATCATAAAGGACTAAAAAGGTTTTAAAACTACATTAGTTAGTATGGTTTAAGGCTCAGTTGATGTATCTCATATTTTCAACATACCAGCCAGAAAAAAAAAATAAAGAAAGATTAATCCTTTGTAAATATTTATGTTGCACAGGTAAAGAGATTTAAGCCTCAACTTGTTGCTGTTAGAAATGAATCCCTAATTGCTGAACTAAAAGAGGCTTTGGATGATGTTGAACAAAAACCTGAGATCATCCCTGGAGAGCAGGGAATCATTGAGGTGAATATCTGGTTTGTTTGTATGACACAATTTGTATTTATAGAGATATTTTTCATTAGGCTATGGCTCATATATTCTCAGGTTGCTCGTCACCCAGATGCAGTCACTGTAGTCACAGGAATTGTAGGCTGTGCAGGACTGAAGGTAACCCTCTTTTCCCTTTTCTTGACCTTCCTGGTAACGGATCTCTTTGCTATCCCATGTAATGAGGTCTTCTGTGTGCATGCATTTACATATCTTTAAATATTAACTTCATTGACCACATCCAACAATTTGGAGGAATTTATTTTTGGTGGGGGTAGAACAAATAGAAGTATATCATCGAGGTCATCAGGGGGACATCAATAACAATCAAGTCATATTCCACTAGGTGGAAAATAATGGAGCATGGTTATTAATTTTATATTAGGACATTGATTCTTTCAATGGAGAATGATCCACAAATGTTCAATTAAAAGATATCATTCTATATATAATGAAGGTAGAATAGAAATATAAGAATTTTGCTTATAATGGCCCATGGTGTATGAACTCAGTAATTTTTTCCAGTTGCAACTCTATGGCTAGCTTGTTCCCCTTGTAAATGAACATTTATTTTTTCGTCAACAAAATATGTAGCAAAGCCAGTTAGAGAGAAAATCACTAACTATAGATGGTATTGGTTGCCACTTATCAGACAACAGATGATAGAAATCTGAAATCCTCTCATTATTTTACTAGCCAACAGTTGCTGCAATAGAAGCAGGGAAAGATATAGCTTTGGCCAACAAAGAGACTTTGATTGCTGGAGGTCCTTTTGTTCTTCCCCTTGCTCAGAAGCATAATGTAAAAATACTTCCAGCTGATTCAGAACATTCTGCTGTTTTTCAGGTAAAATAGCACATAATGATAAAAAATTGTGTCCAACAATCTCAATAGAGTCTACTTATACTGTTGTTATTTATTACCTATATCTACTCTTGCCTCTTGATTTTTTATTGAACTCAAGCAATTATTTTATCATCCTGCTCCACTTGTTACTACAAAAACTTAAAGAATTATTTTTTTCAGTGTATCCAGGGGTTGCCAGAGGGTGCACTTAGACGAGTTATTTTAACTGCTTCTGGAGGTGCTTTCAGGTGTTTAAAATAAACCTCATATGATTGCCTTTTTGTTGTTTTGCTTTTCTGTTGCTCTTGTTTTCTTTCTATGTTGGAAAATTCTTTTTTTTTTTTCTGGAAATGGGAGGAAACTGAAGGGGAATATCTAAACTTTCCCACATATATCTAAATGTCTGGTTCCTCTTGTCCTTTGAACCAATATTCTTTTACCACTCAAAACCTTGAATTGTTCCGCTCTTAGTTCTTGTTCCAGGCTCTTTAATCAAAGTGACCTTAAGTATCATTCTCTTGGTGATTGACAGGGATTGGCCAGTTGATAAACTGAAAGATGTTAAAGTTGCTGATGCATTAAAACATCCCAACTGGAATATGGGAAAAAAGATAACCGTGGACTCCGCTACCCTTTTTAACAAGGTTTGTTTCTTTTTTTTTCATTAATATATTGGATGAAAAAAAAAGCCTTCTTATGAATATTTTAATTATGTGGAATGAATTACCTTGCTATATGGTAAATTTCTTCTACTTATTCACAGGGTCTTGAAGTAATTGAAGCACATTACTTGTTTGGAGCTGACTATGATCATATTGATATTGTCATTCATCCACAATCAATAATACATTCAATGGTTGAAACACAGGTCTAAACCTTATACTATGTTATGTTGGCTACCACTTTTTAACATATGTATATTCAGATACAAAGATTAACCATGGCACCTAAGAGTCCTGACCCTTGGCTTAATTAGCAAAGGGGTGGTGCTGAACATACGTAATATATGAAAAAGGAACATAAGAAAGGAGAAAATGTTCACCAAACATTGTTTAATCTTTATCTAATGCTAAACTAATTCTTAATTTCAGGATTCATCTGTTCTTGCACAGTTGGGGTGGCCGGACATGCGTTTGCCAATCCTTTTTACATTATCATGGCCTGAAAGGATTTATTGTTCTGAAATCACTTGGCCTCGCCTTGATCTTTGCAAGTACTACAATTTTTCCCTTAAGCTTTACTGAATTCAATTCCTTATTTCATTTTAGTACATACCAAAGAAAATAGATCCATTTGGCATAGAGTTTTCAAATTTTGAAGTCTTTATTGTTGTTAAATGGAACTTTACGAAGTACAATTTGAATTATCAATGGTTCTTATTATGAATGATCAATACTTTAATTTTCTTTTCCATTTTGGCTCCTTGCCTAACATCGAGCAAGTATATTTCATTCGTCATGGGTGTCAATAGAATGTGAAAAATGGAGAGTTAGAGTGATGTGAAAAGGTAGTCATGTCCCTTCAACCCCCACGCCCCTTTCTGTGGTTTTCAGTTGGATTAAATATAATCTTTCTTTTAACATGTTTACATAGTAAACACTGCAGGAATATACTAAGTTGGGTGCATTATGTTTTGATATGGGTTAATTATCGAGCAGCATCTACAGAATTGCTTAAAATATGATCATATAATTTCTTCTTCACAATATGGTGTTTTTTACTATCATGAAATTTTATTATGTAAGATGAATCATTTAATTAAAGTTGGCATAGAATTTTGTTAGTTTGTCTGACAGCCACATTTGAAATGTGATCATGCAGGCTTGGTTCACTTACATTTAAAGCTCCTGACAATGTTAAGTATCCATCGATGAATCTTGCCTATGCTGCTGGCCGCGCAGGAGGCACCATGACAGGAGTTCTTAGTGCAGCAAATGAGAAAGCTGTAGAAATGTTTATTGACGAAAAGTAAGAATTTTCTTGTTATTTTTCTTATCACAAGTGTGCACTAAGAATTTTCCCGTATACTTACATTTTATGTGAAAATTTTCCACCTTGATTGGAATTGTTCTAACATAATGTGGGTGACCAAGGTGGCCTATAATCCTTCATGATGTGGTCATAGACTCATATTACTTTGATTCTTCTTTACCTGTACTTAGTTTGTTACTATCTTAGAAGCATGACACAAATTCCATGCAAACATTACCGTTTAGGAATTGTTCAATTGTGTCATGTCATTCTGACACTGTCTGATGCATGTGCAGTGTGCACCCTTTTGAACTATCCTTGTCCCGTGCTTGAATGTTTATACGTGTCTTCTTGTCAACGTAAATTATCCTCTAATGGTTTTTTTGGTGTTTCCAGGATTAGATATTTGGATATATTCAAGGTTGTGGAGCTAACATGTGAGAAGCATCAAAATGAATTGCTATCCTCGCCTTCCCTTGAGGAAATTATTCACTACGACCTTTGGGCACGAGAATATGCTGCTAGCTTACAGGACTCTTCCAGTTTGACTCCTATTCCTGCATGAAACTGATTTAAGAACTGGGGAATGTGCTTCATTCCTGCCAACTGCTAGCTTTCACCATGATTTCTTTGGCCATTGAACAATTGTATACAATGTAGGATGATGCATTCCCCAAATATTGAAAAATGAAAAAAAGGTTTTTATTAATGGAATGATGATATTTAAATGCATTTAGTTTAGTTTATCTTGTAGTTTTATCATAGTTTCACCGAAAATAATGTTTTTTAGTAGTCAATGGGAGATTGCCCATGAATGTGTCAAAGCCAAGAAAGGGAATGAATCTTTTCATGTATTAGGTTTGCGGCTATCTCTTCAAATAAATTGATATTTATGAAAATTGATAAGACCAACACGAAACTTGACCCATCCTGTTCATGAAAGTTTCTTCTTCAGAAATCTGCTCATATTCATCATCTTCTGAATGGTATTCAGTAGATTTTTTAATATTTACTATGCAATTGGCATTTAATACATGATTTTCTCATCTAACTCCTTTCCTCCCAACAACCTTTACTTCATTCTTTGCCATAAGAGTGCTTTTGTATCAAGTCTTCCATTGAACAAACTAATTAAGCAAAATTCTTAAGCTTCAAATTTGCACCCTTCATCTTGAATCGTGAAATTGGACACACTTCATAGAGGCAACAAGTAATTCATACTCTCGATCTTTATAAATTTTAATCCATAATAAACGTGATTTGAAAGTGTTAAAAGGATTATTAACATTTACTATATTATAGCAGCTCCCAGGCAGCAACATAATAGTCAAAACAAATTTTCCCTTTGTCCATTATGAGTTAGCTTCTCTCCATAACCAGTTTATATACTGAATCTGAGGAAGGTTTTGAATTAAAAAATTTCTTCCGCATCTAAAAAAGAGAGATGGGAGTAGTGTTATGGTTGGCTGAGAGAGATTCACATATAATACATTAGATAAAAGTAGAGATGAGGTGAGAGAAGGACACAAAACATTGTCTGTCACTGCCCAAAAAATATAATTACTTGAGAAGAGCATGCGAGTGGGTTCAGCACTTCCGACATAGTTGACCTCACAAAGAATACTGTCCACTAATCTCAATAGCCCAATGCTTGTTCTCTATATTTTGAAAGGATTAGCTTCCCACTTTATAAAAAGATGCAAGTTATAACCTTTGTTATTGCATTTTATTTAGAGCATGTTCGAATTGGTGCTTTGAATCAATAGTTCCACTAACAGGCTCCTAAAATAAAAAGAAAAGTCCCTTCTGGGCTATCACTTCGCGGGAATATGATCCTTCGTAGTCACTACAAGAGGGGCACTCCAGATTTTACGGGTAAAGTTTACAAATTATATTTATAGTTTCACTTTTTATGAAAAAAAATACTATTTAATGTCTGCATATCACGATATGGTTCTGTTTAATTTAGAAGAGTAAACAGTGTTTTTTCCCCCAACTCATGGCTATTTTCCTTAGTTAGATTGCTTTTTATGATAAGTATACTACTTAGGAAAACAAAAAATATATTTTGACATATTAATATTTTGTAATATCACTAACGATTACGAATATGAAAACAAATCAAGTTTTTTAATTTTTCTTTTCAGGCTTCTATTTTTTCAAATATTCAAATGACCAAGTTTGCCTTTTCTCGGTAATTTATTTGGGTTGGAAATCACTGCAAAAATATAACATACAGAAACAATGTTGTCTCTACTCTCCCTTGTGGATTTGATCACCCTCCTGGTAGTGGTTCAAATGTAGCAAAACTTTCACGCAATGAATTTGTCTAAAATAACATTTTTTAAAAAATACACTTGGGTCCAATTTAAGTAACTATTTTTGGAAGTCCTTATAGAATAAAAATAAATAAATAATTTTTTTATAGATTTTATATTTATCTAATTTTTGAAAAAAAAATCTCTAATTTAACTGTTCTAAATTTAAAAAGAAAAGTTATTTTTCACTCATAAAAATTATTTTTATACTAATTTTTTATAATTTTTTAATAAATTTACTCAAAATATACCTTAATCTACATGTACCGAGTCCATGTTTTTAAAATGAAATATTATTTTTATTTTTATTTTCACGTTTTTTTTTTTACGTTTATCGTTTAATTTTATATTTTTTTCTTTCTAAATATCAGTTTTAAATTTAAATCTTAATATACTATAATTTATTTTTTAAATAAGCTGAATTTAGTATTATTATAATGTTAATCATTTTTTATATATGTCATATTTTTAATAAATTTTTTTTTGTAATTTTTTTTATTTTAAAAGTGTCATCTTGTTAATTTAATTATATTTAACTTATCTTTAGATATCATATTTATTTATTAAATATAAGTATTTATTTAATAATTTTTTATTATATTAAGTAACATGTTTCTCTTTTAAATTTTGTTAATTTATTTGTTAATTTTAAAATTCTTTAACTTAGACACATATAATATAATATTTATATCAATAATAAAAATTGTTAATTATTTTAAATTAAAAAATTGCAGTATAATTTTAATTTAATAGTAAAGGGCGAGAATTCCATTCATACAATGAAATATTTATTACTAATAAAAAAACAAATTAATATTTTCTCTAATTTTTATTATAAAATTTATTTAAATTTAAAAACCCATTAGTATAAATGTGAAGCATCACGCGCAGAAGGGTTTAGTTAACATTTGTGAGTGAGAAAAGAGAGAGCAGCCGCCAGGCGTAACCCTAGCTTCCTCTTCCCCTTCATTGATCAGGTAACTTCTCATCAAAGCTCTGTTCTGCTACTGCACTCTCTAACACTTCACTCCTTCATTATCTTTCACAATTGTTCTTCGTTGCTTTATCCTTTTAATATTCCTTTTCTGATTTTAATGTCCATCACCGTGGTTACCGTGACCTTAATGATTTGCTTTTTTTTTTATTGGTTTTTTTACGCATTACTAATGCGTAAAAGTGTCCAATTTTCTACGCTTCAAACTTAATATATTTTGAATACTCTCTATAATGTTGTGTAAGATTTTGTGCTGGACCCTCTAATGGAGAGTGGATCCAGATTATTTAGTGGTGCCAACATTAGATTAACCCTATGACAGAAAGAGTGAGTGCGGTTATTAGCATTTATCTGATAGCAAACGGTTGAACTTTATTCAAAAGGGTGAAAGTGTTTATTATTGTTGTTACTGCTGCTGCTGCTGCATAATGTAGATATTTAACACTTCTTGTTTCCATTTAGAATGTGAAATATGTATTCTTCTTATTTGTGGAGTTGAATTTTGAATTTTTGATAAAAAAAAAAAAACTTGATCTCGGTATATTTTATACAGCATTTGTAGAAACAAAGTATTAAATATTTTCTGAAGCTTGAGATTATATATGTACAAAATGAAGCTGTTTTGATTCTTGTTCTGAAATTGATTACGCTTTCTATGTGTATCTTGTTGAACTGCCCTTAGGCTTTTATCTTAGAGTACCATGATTTGGATTGATTTTATGGTCTAAGTGGTTTCCATCCACATGGTGATTGATGACCGCATAAACCTTATTTGCAAATTTCATAGCTGTTGAGTTGGGTTGAGTACTGATATTAAATTTCACCTAACCTGTTTGAACCTAATTTCATTTTAGTTTAAACTGTCTTTCCTATTTCTTCCGTTGTTCAACTTTATGTTATTATCACTTGTTGGATGCGTTCAAAGGAATTCGTATGTCAAGTACTATGATTAATATATGTATCTGGTTTGTTTACATGTGTTCTTCCACTCCACACTCTGTTAATCTTGTAAATTTTGCATGTATTTGAGCAGGATGGAATCTCAGGTGAAGCATGCTGTTGTTGTCAAAGTTATGGGTCGTACTGGGTCTAGAGGGCAGGTGACTCAGGTTAGAGTGAAGTTTCTGGATGATCAGAACCGTCATATCATGAGGAATGTGAAGGGACCAGTGAGAGAAGGGGACATTCTCACCCTACTTGAGTCTGAAAGAGAAGCAAGAAGGTTGCGCTAGAGGATCTCGGGATGGTTTGTTTGGGTCAGGATTATTTGCTGTTTGATTTTTTGGTAGTTAGATGTTGCCATATTTAATTGTCTTGGATCTATACTGGACTCGATTTCGGACTTGCGTTTTGATGTTATTAGGATGACTCATTTTTGAGTAAAATTGTGCTTTGACTTTTAAAAATCCTTTTCCTTTCTCTATTTGTCATTTTTAATTTAAGAGTAGTGTCATCAACACACACTATTAAGCACATTCTTTAATACAGTTCTTGTCATTGGTCAATTTTTTACAAAAAAACAATTTTTGGAAGGCAAAATTAGTGTTTTTACCCTCTAGTTTTAAGTTAAGTTGAGATTTTGTCTTCTAATTTTATTTTGATTCATTTTAGTTCTCTTTTTTAAAAATGTTTTATTAAATGGGTTTTCTTAACAAAGTTAACTGTTCAATTTGATTTTTCATTTTTCTGCTATGTGTATTGGTCATGTTATTCCTGCGATTTCAATCTACACATTCACCCCACCTCTTCTTCGTCTTTATCTTCCTTTCTTTTCCCTTTTTTTATATCTTCCTCCTCTTCGAACCCTCAAAGTAGAAGCTGCTTTCATCACTGTGAGAGAGAGACAAACTCCACTGCCTCCACTCCGAGAGGAGGTGCATCAAGTGGCAACTAAAATCTTGTAGGCAGTTAGGGTGAGTTCAAAATTAAATAGTTTGGCGGCGAGTTAACCGATGGTGACGGAGGCAGCAGTGTTGTCTCTAGCTGACAACTCGGCAAGGAGGTTCATTCCTGTAGGAAGCTTGGAACATTAGTTAGTAATGCTGTTAGGTAATCAATAAATTCATTAATTTTGGGACTGATAAAATTTCACAGGATTAGTATGTATGTTGGGGTTGAGAAGTATTAGAACGCAACTGTAACAGCTACGACCTGTCCAAATTCTAGGTCAACTCACCGTACCTCCTTTTATTTCGTCCAGAATTAGGTTGAGATCTTAGTTAATAAGAGAACGGTAAATTCAATTCAACAATCTGTCACGGTATTACTTCTGTATAAAACTCATGAAAGCCCTCCTAAGTTTAATGATGCAATATTAGGGATTATAGAGATTGAAATGTCCTCCTAAGTTTTGTGATGTATTACTAGGGATTATACGAGATTGAAATGTCGATATTTAATATCAACTGGTAAAAGAAATAAGTGCTACTAAATTTTAAAATTAAATATGTTTTTGGTGCTTTAAAATATACTAAGTTTTATTTTAATTTATGTAAAATTGTTATGTTAGTCCTTAGGTTTTTTAAAATTATTAACTTTGGTTTTCATTGATGTTAAACGATTGCAAAATTATTTAGTTTTTAATTGATGTTAAATGATTATGAGAATTATATGTTAACTTTTATGTCATGTTTGTTTCTGAGGTAACATTAGTAAAAGTAATTAAAAATATAAAAAAATTTAAGAATTAGAAGAAAAAAATAATATATTTTAAACTATAATTTTCTATCCTTCTATTCGTTATTTTTAAAAATCTTGGTAATTATTAAATAAAGAAAATATTTAATATATTTTATGTCTTCAACATAATAATGAATTTATATTTTTATTTAATATTTATTTTATAAAGAAGTAGAAATATTATTAAAAAAATTATCAGGAGGATGTAATAAAGTTCTATTTTGAGAGATTAAAAATATATTTAAATTTAATGATTAAGTATTATATCTTTCTTTTATGATAGTTTTTAATAATTTTAAATATTATATTTTAAATAACTTTAAAAAATTTAAAAATAAAAATAAAACTTATGTTAACAAATATATTTTCTTTTACTTTTAAAAAGGAAAAAATATTTTTAAAAGTAAAAAACAAACAAACTTTTAATTTTTATTAAATTAATGTTATTCTTGCTATTATAAAATAATTTCTTGTACAATCTATTTAATTTTGTTTACTTTTCAAAACAAGAAAGGTAATTTATTTATTTATTATATTTTTTACCCAATTTTCTTTACTTCTCACCCTTTCTCTTTTTTTATACTTGTCAAAAATAAGCATAAAAAGCTAGGGAGGCCCCTTATACAAGTCAACTTGCTACCAATTCATCACTGCATGACATTAATGGGAAATTCCCTCCAAGCAGTTGATTATTTATGGCCAGCTGTGGAGCTATCATTTAAAGTTCCTCTGCCTAATGGCGGTTGGAATAAGTTGCGCTTTCATAGCAGAACTTTCGAGAATCATAAATGTACAGGTAGTAACTGTAGTAAAAAAAAATTATTCTTTTAAGGCTCTTTTATAATTTTTAACAAATTTTAAAATATTTATTATTTTTTTACATGTTTATCCTTAATTATTGTTTTTAATTGTTTAATAACTGATACAATAATAAAATTTGACTTTAATTGAAAACAAAGTTAAAATATTATGCTTAATTTTTAAAAAAATTAGTATATTAACTACTAATAATAAATTTTGTAATAATTTTGTTGATATTAACTTTAAAAACTAAACTTAAGTATATAATTTCTAAAAAAATATTATTTTATATACTTAAGTTTAGTTTTTAAAGTTAATATCAACAAAATTATTACAAAATTTATTATTAGTAGTTAATATTAATAAAAAGTTACTCTCTTTTTTTGCTAGATAAGAAGGCTGAAAGTCCAAATAAAACAAGTAAAAGTTAGAGACTTATCTTAGGAGTCCAATTGCCTACAAAATTAAAATAAAGAAAGGGAGTTAAGAGAGCAAAATCTATACAAAAGGACACTATTGAATCATCAAGACCTAATTTAGCTAAATAATTAGCACACTGGTTAGTTTTTTTTGTAGATATGATTAAACTTAACAAATTAAATGAACTTAATAACATTTCTAATTCTAACAATTAGGTCATATAAAGGATGGGCCTCAATCTGGACATTTAGACTCCTTATCTAGATAATGTGGATCCCTTTCTGCAGAACAAGTTCCAAACCTAGTAGAATACTTTAGAGTTCAACAACCATAGGAGATTAGGGGTCAAGCTTATTGTAGAATCCAAACAGGAATTGACCTTGAGCACTCTTGACTATTCTACCACAAGCTGCATCTCCTGTTAGCTGGAAAATAGCTCCATCAACATTGAGCTTCCATTGGTGAATAGGAGGAGGAACCTATTTAATCTGATCTTGATTTTTTACAAGCTGCATGAAAGATTCATTCTTGTTATTTTGGCAACAGGAAAAGGCCTGAAAATCAAACAATTTTTTGAATGAGACTCGTAGGCTGAACAGACTGATTATTAAAAATAAATTTATTTCTTTCCTTCTAAAGGTGCCAAACAATAACTCCAAACAAACTTTCCCAATTTGAGAATTTACTTATGTTTGGAAAAATTAAACATTAACCAATCTGATATATCTCTACTGAAAAAAGAAACCCACTAATCAGCAAAAATAAAGGATTTATGGATATTTTGAGCATAAACACAATCTCTAATAACATGAATTACAATTTCTTTCTCCACATTACATCTAGAATAAAGGGAAGAATTTGACATACGTCGAGTACAACATTCAACATTTGTGAGCAGTCTATTATGTGTTAATTTTTAGAGAAAAATTTTAATTTTAAGAGGACCCTCCCATTTCCAAACAAATTTGATAGCTAGTTGGATTATTATTAGGACTAGACAACAAAGAATAGGCAGATTTCAAAGAAAAGATACCATTATTAGTTAAATGCCAAAAAATAGAGTATTCTTAGAAATTAAAGGTTTCTTAGTAGTCACCAAATTGTAAATTTGCACAGGCAGAGTAGAAACAAGTTTTTCCCAATCCTAAACTTCATTCCCACCAAATAAAGCAAAAAGAGTTAAAGCAGTAAAAGGAATAATGCTATATTTAGACAAGACACCAATTATCATACCAAAATTTAACATTCATACCATCTCTAATATACCAACCAATTCCTTAAGAGATTCCACAGGTGAGAAGCTTTATAACCTTTATTAATTTTAGAATTTTGATCAATATTGAACTTATATTTAGTACAAAGAATCTGAACTCACAGTTCAAAGGGAGAGGTGTAAATCCTCCACCACAATTTCATCAAATATACCTTATTTAGCATGTGCAGATCCCTTAAACTCAAACCCTTTTCAAGTTTTGGTTTGCATATGATCTCCCAGCTAATAATTTGACACTTCTTAGCCCCTAGAGAACCCCAAATAAACTGCTTACAAATGCTATTAATATCCTGATAGACAAAGGAAGAAATTACTTGAAATTGTATTACATAATTTGAAATGCTCATAAGACAAGATTGGAATAGAGTTACTCTGTCAGCCATTATAAGAGAATTTATTTTCTAAATAAAAAGTTTTTTTTTATTTTATTTAAGAGATAAGAATAGTAACTCTTAGAAGGTCTGTGATGATAAATAGGAATACCAAGATATCTAACAATTTTTTTAGTTTCAAGAAAAAAAAGTTACTATATTTAAGCGTTTAAATTTAGTTTTAAAAAATAAAATCAATAAAAAGAATTTTGAATATATATATTTTAGATTTGATTTGAATAAACTTTTAGAAAAGAACTTTAAAAATAATTTATTTACTCAAATTTTTAAAATGTTAAATAAAAAACTTAAATTGTTTTTAACTTATCTGAAAAATTTTATTAATTTTGAATATAAAAAGTTCTCTAAAAATTTTCTCAAATTAAGCATTAGTTAAAAAGATATAAAAAGGACTTGTGGAGATAATAAAATGGTTATTGAAAGTGAAAAAAAGCCTTTAGTTGATAAACTTGAGTCATTAAATTTCTAATAAAATTATGATGCTCTTAATTTTAAGACCTATGAGATTGGATATAGCCAAGTGAGACTAGAATCCTCCGCCATGGGATTTGAGGTTCTTGCTGCTTTAGCTGGAGTAACGTTAGATATGGTGCGTTTTTATCCTTTTGTCTAGGCTTGACCCTCCAATTTAATTAAAGAAAGAAAACAATTTAAAGTTCTGAAGAAGCCAAAATAGGCCTCACTGGATAATGGATAACTAGGTATTCTGATGACTCTAGTAATTAGCACCATGCTCTAACAACTCCCCAATTGGGAAGACGTGTATTCCACCCTCAAAGCATTTACCATTTACCATTTACCTTTAACCTTGTAAATCACAAACATCACCCCACTCTATGCCGTGTGAGACCCACAACACACTCTCCATGCCAACTCATCCACCATGCAAGCGCCAGCCGCACTACCCTCCATGCCATCTTATTTTCATTTTCTTAATTAAAAAAGATATTAATTTTTTAGTGAATTAAATATTTTCATTTAATATTATCTGTAATTTTATTTTTATAACAATTTTTAATTTATTAAAATTAATAAAAATTATTTTTATATATTCTAAATTTATGTTTTATGATAAAAATAAATTTTTAATCTGTACAATATTGTGCAAAATAGTAAGTTATATATAATAATTTTTTTAGTAAAAATTATAGCATTTAATAGTATTGATACATTAACTGGTTAACTGTTGTAATTTTTAATACAAATTTATTATATATAATTTATTATCTTCTATAATATTATATAAGTTAGAAAAATTAATATTAAATAAATGAATGTATTTATTTATATAGGGAAAGAGTAAATACTTTGTTAAAGAAACTTATAATAAGTAAAAGTATAAAAAAATTAATAACCAATACTTCTAGAAAAGACTTTTTTTTTCTGTAATTAAGATAACAAAATTTTATAATTATTTTTATAAATAAGAATAAAAATATATATTTTTAAAATTACTAAGAAAATTAATAAAATTATTATAGAAAAACTATTAATTTTGACTTTACTAAGAGAGAAAGTTGTCCATTATCCATACTTTTGTCTCTAACTTTTTTCATTTAATAATTAAAAATCTATAAAAATAAAAGGATAGAAAATTTTTAATTTATTTTATTCACTTTAATTACACTAGTACAAGGATACTAAACTGAAATTCCTTAATAGGCTCAATAAATTAAAGCAGTAAAGTTAATATGTCCCTGCTAAAGGCGGTTACAAATTCCAACAAGTCCATTGACACTACCAAAAAACCCAACTGATTTGGCGGCTGGCGCCATTGTTGTCGGCGGAGGCATGCTTAGAGGCCACCTTGTTGGTCCTCTTCTCGGAACTCAGAAACCGGAGTGATTCCTTCTTTCCATCACTGTGGCTCCCATTCAGAAGATCTCGAAGCTTCCACCGCTTCAACGAGAATCTTCTTGTGGACACGCTTTTCTTGCACGACGGAGTCCACACGCAGTAGGGCCCTGCAGGCACGCTGCTGTCGTTTGGTGTTTCTCGGTCCTCAAGCATAAGCTTCCTCAGAGGTAAACGACGAGGAGGAGACTCAAGGGGTGGCGTTTCCCCGTGGGGAATGGGGTTGAGCGAGTTGCTGTCAAAGAGAGGGTGAGGGTAAATTGGTCTGATTTGGCCGTTATAGAAAATGTCGTCAGCAGAGACAGGAGAAGAATCGGGGTGTGTAGAAGAGAAAGAAAACTCAAAGTCATTGGGGACATCGTCATGTTTAGGATTAATGAGGTTGTCGTTTTCTTCGGCGGAGTCCGAGAGAGTGTCGCTGTGGAGCTCCTGGATTACCCTTGCCGCGATATCAGCTAAGGTCTCGGAAGAGTATCTGCCGAAACTTGGGGAAGAAGACTGCTGTTTGATACTCTGGATCTGCTTCATTGCTCATGCACTTTCTATCTTCTTCTGTTTAGTGTTTACACATAACCTCAGTCACATGAAGAGATGAAGAGATTGAATTTGGTTCCTTCAAATGAAAGGAAAAAGTGTATGGTGAAGTTCTATTATGCCATATATAGAGTTATACACTAGAGAGAAGGTGCTGCAGCTCCTGATATTTTTCCACTCACTTTTTCTTTCTTTTCTTTTCTTTTTTTAATTAGTATTTTGCTAATTAATAACATTGGTTAAACAAAATAATAAATAGATTTTTATTAAAAATTATAGTGACAGTATATTGATGATATTTTTAATAAAAAAGGTTTTACTTTTAATTTCTTAATTATGATATCAAGTTATTTATTAAAAAGACATATATTATATTAAAATTATAAATTTACGATAAATATTATATATATATATATAAGTGAGAAATTAATGATGGAAAATAATAAATGTTATTAAGTGTAATTGTTTGTGAATTTGAAATGAATGTTTTCCAGGGTAACGTAAGCAACAAAGTCACGAAAATGACAACTTGGGAAAGGTGGTCCTGAAGTTCAATCACTTTACTGTGTGTGCGCGCAAAAAACGGGCGACCTCCGTTTCTTTGCGACACTCTAGAATAAACAATTTTTGGGCGTTTTAATTTGTTTGTATGTTTATTTTTCAGTTGAATGTTTTTTTATTATATAATTAACATAAAAAATAATTTTTATTTTATTTTTATTATTTATTTTTTAAATTTAATTGATTAACATAATAGTTTGAAACTTCAAAAAAAATTGTATGACTTTTTTAATAATTATTTGTTACAAATTTCAATTTAAAATAAAAAATAGAAAAATAAGCTAACGCCTCTCACAGCTTAGGTAATACTGTGGTTTTTCAATCTATTCATTTATTTGGTATAAGGATTCAATACTAAAGGCAATCAATTTTTCTGTAAATGACATGAATATTTCAAGAAAATACTAAAGAAAGATAACTCTATTATGAACAAACATAATATTTTTATGCATTATTTATATGAAATAGCATAATATGGTGAGTGGCTTTTCTCTTTATGCTTTTATTGACATTTGGTTTTAAATAAATCTTTTATCACTTATAATATTTTAAATTAAATAAATATTTTGACTAAAGTGTACAAAATAAAATCTCTTTTGCTAGTAACCAATATTATAAGTAAGTTATTGGTAAATTATTTGAGTTCACTTCATTTATTTAATTAAATGAATAAATTTAAACTTAAAGTTCAGTTTGATTAGTTAAATAAATTAAATGTAAAATTTGTAAATTTAATACTAATAATTCATAAATAATTTGTATGTAGACCCATGCATGCATGAATGCGCGTGCATGCATATATATATATATATATATATATATATATATTTGATAGTCATAATTTTATTTATTATATTTATTTAAAATTTATTATTATTATATGCATATATAATTTATCTATTTTTAATTTTTAAGACTTGCATTATGGTTTTCTAAAAATAAACATATTATTTTTATAAAAAATTAATTTAAGTATTTTTATGTAGATAAAATTATTATTATTATTATTATTATTATTATTATTATTATTATTATTTAGTTTTCTTTAGCATAAATGTCTATTAAACATTAAATTAATAAAAATTTATTGAATATTTATAAAAAAATATAATGAGTTAAGTTTAAATTTTAAAACTGTTAATCAAGTCAAGTTGAAGCTTTAGATTGACTCATTTAAATAAATGAGTTAAACTTAAACAGTCTAATTCTATAACAAGTCAAAATTAAATTTTAAGTTCATTTAAACTCTATTAATAATAATAGTATGCCAGAAAAATTATCCTGTACAAATTCATTTATAATAATTGTTTGTTGATATAAGATTTATTTTAATTAAAATGGACTAAAATAACCATTTTTTAAAAAGAAATTAAATGTTTTTAAAATAAAAAAACTGTAAATTTTGATTATCATATAAGAGGGTATAATTCATTAAAAATAGTTTTTATTGATCTTAAAAGTAGGAAATAATTATTTTAAGTTTGTTAGTATTAAATTTCATTATTTTTATAAAACTGCTTTATAAAAATTTTAAAATATTTCATTGAAAAACAAATGGAACATTTTTATTGAACAAAAATAATGGCACATATTAAATAATCCTTTTAACCATACATTAACACACCCTTGAATTTAAAGTGACATAGATGCATATTTTGGGCTTATTAATAAGGTCATTTTTCATTTTTTGGCATCGTTGAAAGATGATAAACTAAGGAGTGGGGTTGGCGAGGAAAGGCCAACCATGAACTTGGGCTAACATGATTGGGTCCCGTTTGCCATTGATTCAGCTGCACGATAAATCAATTTATTAAGGATAATAAAAATTTTACAACAAAAAAACAATAATAAATTTGTATGATCCAAATAAAAACACATAATATAATAATTTATTTTATATTATTTTTTAACATTTATTAAATAAAAATATAATAATTAATTATATCAAATTATTCTATTTTATCTTAATAATTTAAATTCTATGGATTAAACATAAGTGATTTCTTCTAGCCTGTTATATTGACCAAAAGGGCCAAAGATTAATGTTTAGGATATACATAGAAGACCCTGGGTAAGCCTCCAAAGTTAAGAAATGACATTGACCAAAAGTAAAAAGTGAAAGAAGACTAATGACTATGTGCAGAAAGGTAGTTTATATAATTATATAAAGTGGAACCCTCTATCATTTTAAACATAATTTTTAAAAATATCTTTTTATTTATTAATTACACTTTATAGAAAATTACAAAAATATTATATTTTAAAAAAGAGTTTCATATGATTTTTAATAAATTTTAGTTTTTATATATATAAAAGCGAAGTCATTTCAGAAATTTCTGACGCGTGAGGTGCATTTCCATCAACCTGGGAAAAGGAGGCAAATCTTGGCTTGAACTAAATTGATATGCAAATGAGCATTTAGTAATCCCGTGGGCCCCTTTTACACAAAGGGAGTAGTTCCTTTCAAAATTACTCAATTAGTTCAATTATTAAATTAATTTATTTTAATACAATAAGTCTCTTTGTAATTTTTTACTAATATAAATTTGTAGCAAACTTGAACGTAATTTTTTATTATTATTATGAAACACTTTTTGTCAATTTTAAATTGTCAACAATTATAATTAAAACTCACATAAATTTATACAGGTAGAAAAGAAAGGTTATCACAAATATGAATTATTATTTAATAAATTTTTACAGGTTATAATAATTGTATAATTTTAACGGAAAATTCCCCAAAAAATAATTTATGATTTTACCATATTTACACATTGTTTAGTTTAAAGAAAGTAAAAACAACCTTTATGAATCAAGTTGGATGCGAAGAATTTGTAAATCACCAACGACATACTATAAAAACTTGATTAATTGACAGATTATTGACAACATTTTTAAAAATATAAAAAATAAATAGTTAAAAAAACCATAAATAAAAAATTAATTTTTCATTAAGGTTCGAATTTTAAATATCGTCCAAAACTTTCATAGTTGTGTTTTAAATGCAGATATGACAATGATATACGATAGTTTGACATATTCCTGTTGACAATCTTTAATTTCCACGTGTGTGTTGGAAACACATAAAAATCTATATAAATTTGATCAAACACACAAGTTAATAAACTTAAAACTAAAAATATTCAAATGTATTAGCGAGCACATGGACCAATTTGTAGGAAATTATTCTAATTTAACTTATAATTTTAAATTCAAGCAGAAAAAAACCTTAGTGTAATACTACCTTACCTTAAAGTAACGATATTACCGCAATAAACAAACTAAATTATAATAATGGAGATTACTGAATTTGTTAGAAAACATAAGAAAAGTGTCGTGAAGATAAAATAACATAATTTAGAGTTTAGGGTTTAGGATATAAGTGTACCTTTATGGACAACTGATTATATTATTTAACACATGATATAATTCTCTTTAGTTGGTTATATTATCTTATCTTTAGCTTAATTTATTTTAGATTTAGTTATTTACATATATCATTATTAATTTATTTTAACCACACAAGATTAAGATCCTGTTAGCTGGTGTCTCTATAAATAAATCTATTATGCAATTTTTAATGGCATAAATAATTTGAATTAATTTAAGATATTGTCTCTTATGGAGTTCCAGAGCTTGACTTGAATAAAGCTCTAACATTGGTACTTTCATTGACTTGTTCTATGGCTGACGGAACTCAACTTAGCAAAATTGAGAGTGAGTTGTCTCGTATTGAGGCACAAAACTCAAGTTTTCAAGAGCGCATGGAAGCATAAATGACTCAACTCATGTCTCTGTTACAGAAGAAGAAATTAGATGCTGAAGGCCTTGACGCTGAATCTACACACTCGATTCCGCATAGCTTGTCACATTTTTCCACTGCATGCATATTCACCAAAGTTTTCAAGATTGATCTTCCTAAGTTCAACGAAATCAATGTCGATGATTGGATTTTTCATTTAGAGGAGTATTTTGATGTTGCAAAAACTCCTTTAGAGCAACATATCAAAGTTGCGAGTTTTCACATGATAGGACTTGCCTACGCTTGGTACAAGTGGATGATCCGTAACGATTACACAAGATTGGACAATCTTTGTTGACGCATTATACAAACGTTTTGGCTTAAACCTGTACACCAACCCACAAGAAGCACTCAAGGAATTGAAACAACAAGGCACAGTGAAAGAATATCAAACCCAATTCGAGGCTCTATCCACTAGAGTCAATGGATTGACAGAACAATGGCTTGTTAGCTTCTTTGTGGCTGGTCTCAACGATTACTTAAAGTGTCAATTATGGCTGGCCAAACCACCGTCTTACCATGAGGCAACTGCTATAGCCTTGCTCCATGAACAAAATTACGCTGCTTTACAACAATCATTGAAACAATCGTCAGTTTTTCCTCTTATTTTCGCAACCCAATACATTCCGAA